TTGCTGTCACCATTGAATAGTTTAGACAAGAAAATCATGTGCCCCCTTAATCTCCTAACCTCCAAATTATACAAATTATTAGGGATGCACCAAAATTTCACACGCCAAAACATTTTGGCAGTATATAGCACTCTTGGCAAAATGTGGCTGAAAATTCAGTGCATCCCAGCTTCTTTCCTCCCCGCTGAGCACCAGTCTGTGTGTCTTCCGATGCAGCGGCTGGCACCCAGCGGAGAGGAGAGAAGGTTTTAGGATGTTGAGTGGGGGCCTCCTGTGTCAAGATGGAGAGCGGGTATTGGAGGAGAGCTCTATGATGTCATAGGAGACGGAGCTCTCCTCCCGCTCCTGCTCTGCCTTCTGTGACAGCTGATTCATTATGGAGAGCGGCGTACAAACATTCAGCGATCAGCTGATCGCTGAATGTTTGTTAATAACTGGACATAGTGTGAGTTACTATGTAACAGGTATCAATGAATAGGAAGTGCTCTACATCACTTCCACTTCATTCAAGATTGTGGACATAGTAACTCATACTATCTCCTCAAGTTATGAATGAACAGGAACACTCAGTATAGAGGATTCCTGTTCATTTATAACTCTGTGTCCTCAATCTCTTTTTCCTTTTTAAAAGGGAATATCAGGGGTCTGTTTTGACCCCCGATATGTCTCTAGAGCCCCCGACAGTAAAGTTAAAAAAGAAAAATAAATACAAATAAAATAATTAAAAAATATTTTTGTAAATTTTAAAAAAGGTTGGAAAAAACTTAATTTTCATTTTGGCCTGACAGATTTTTTTTATTTTCGGTCTCAAAATTCAATTTCAGGGCATCCCTAACTTTTCTAGTACAATTAATGGTACTGTGGTAGTGATAAATCTGATACATCCCTACCTAGTGCAGTTTATCTATTCCATGCCGATTTCAAATAACAGAGGGAGGAAAGAGATAGGGAGCAGAAACAATAATCAAAATGGAGGAAATAAAGAGGTTTATTTACTGAAGGCAATTAGGCTGTTCACTTTCCAAGGGAATTTTCCTTAATGAATGAGGTGATAATTTACTTTGGAAAGTATTCCCAATCGTGTGCAAGGAAAGTGGAAAAACTGTATTTTTGCTTGAAAATTATTGGATTATGGAAGTCAGCAGAGCTTCACCTCATTCACTGAAATTCCCTTGCAAAGTGAACAGCCTATTTGCCTTTAGTAAATAAATCCTGATGTTTCCTACAAAATGTAGAGTCCGGCTTTTTTTCTCAATGCAATTGATGTGACATTAGAGTGGAAAAGGCACACACCGATCTATCTTCAATCAGACATAGAAAAGAAATGATAAACACAAATTAGAAGTGCTGTATATCTGTGATACCTAAGCTGCATATTGTATTGCCTTGGTTGTTCTCAGAAATGTTATTATGTTCTTCTCTATATTTGCAGCAGCTAAACAGTATGCAACAACAGTTGCTGTCAGCTCATGCAAGTGGTACTTGCAAAGTCAGTAAAATCAGTGAGACTGAAACGGTATCTGACAGTGCAGACATTGTTTCCACTGAGTCTAAGTAGATTTAGTATCCAGCATTTTCAGCTATCTGTCGATTTTAGTGCCACACAGTCTTTCATAAAGAATCACAGAGGTGCCAGTTTATGATGGCACAACATTGCACATGCATAGAAATAGAAAAGTGCCACTGTTCTTTTATTTGCACAGCTGAAGCTCAGAAACGAAAATTGTCAGCTAAGGATGTTTTCCAAACTCAGCAAACAAGTGTATACCGGAACACTTTTAAGGTGCCCACACACCTTACAACCATTGCAAGACTTTTGTCTTGCGATGGTTGTAAGCTAATTAAAAGCTTGTACGATCTGCCCATCTTGGACAGGCAGATCGTACTTGCGATGACTGCCTGAGGTGCCGCGCGTGTCGGGATCCTCTGGCAGTCGACGGCCAGCTAAATTAGGACCCCACCTGGAGCTCCTCCCACCGGACCAGCGCTGACTCGCCGCTGCTCTCCCGCGCCGAAGGTAAGTGAAAAAAACCCAAAACATAGCGCAAACATCGGGGCATTTTGACAAGTACAAGTACTTGTCAAAATGCCCTGTTTTTTCCGCCCTCACCTTGCAGCGCCCTCAGGCGGCCGCCTGTCTTGCCTTGCTGTAGAGCCGGGCCTGGGTCCACACCCGCAGCTACTACAAGCGATCGGGCATCTCTAGATCGCTTGAATGTAAACAGCCATCCCTGGCTGTTTACATTTCTAACATTTTCCCCACTCGTGTGCGCGATGAGCGCCGCACAGTAGTGGGGGGTGGGGCAGGACCTCCTGCTCCTATAAGGCTCCTGTGCGGTCATTCAGGAATGGCCATGGACGGGAGGTGGTTAAAGAAAACCATAATCAATAACCAATTTACATAACCATAATCAGCAGGTAAATTGCCCCTGGAGGCGATGTCCTCACAGGGAGGGGGGAGTCATGCGCTGTTAAGGAATTGTCAGTGGTGGTGGGGGGAACTCACTTCTTCAAACACGGCGGGGGCAGTGGCGGACTGAGCGGCTCTGTCCGGAGTCCCACCCAGCTCACTGAGGAGTTAGGCGGGACTCCGCTCAGCTCCTGGCATCCGGTGACATCAGTAAGTTTGGCGGAAACGCACAGAGTGTCACAGGTTGCGAAGAGCTCTTAGCAAACCTGGGACACTGTGGCCTCCCCCCTGCCACCACCACCACCCAGCCGCTCCCCAATGAGATGGCAACTGCCTGAGGCTGTCTTATTATAGGGACAACCCTAACCATCATGCCTACCCTCATATTTCAAAACTTTAAAGGAGAACTATGAAGTGAGTGCTTTTCACTTACCTCATAGTTCTAGCTGACCTGTGACAATGAGACGGCTCTCTGCCGTGACAGGGGAAGGGCTGGATTCCCCCCTCCCCGCTCCGCCAGAAAGTATTGACGCCCATGGGTCTTTGCGTGCTAAAAACATCTACATGATAGTGTTTAACAAAAGTGTGTCAGCTGGACCACACCACAGTTCTGCAGTTCTGTCCAAGAGAGGCAAATATGAGTTTCAACAAAGAGGCAACTACTGACCTGGAAATGTGTTCTTGAACCAGGAGGATTTCAGATGTAGCAGCTATGCCCTATAGCAGGAGTCTCAAACTCAATTCACTTGGGGGCCACTGGACAAATTTTCTTCTCCCATGGGGGCCGCTTGCCAAAATACTTCAAAATAAAATTAAACTATATACAGTACCCATGTTTATGTCTGCGTGTGTTTATAATGTCAGTATATGTGTTTGTGATGCTTTGTGTGTACTGTCAGGATTTCTGTGATGCCGACATGTGTGCTAATGTTTCTGTGTCTGTCATATGAGTATGTATTATGGATGCACCAATACCGTTTTTTTGGGTATCGAGTACGAGTACCAATATTTTTTTTCGGTACTCTCTGATACCTAGTACCGGTGCCTTGTGCCCCAATTATCAGAAAGTCGGGCAGCAGATCATGACCCATATTCTGGCTTCCTGATTGCCTGTGAAGCCAGTGTTCTAGTGAAAGAACACCGGCTTCACAGGCTACCTGGCTTTCTGACAAGCGAAGAGTCATGAGTTGCCTTCTGGCTTCCTGATTGGTCAGGAAGCCAGGCTGCCTAGCAAAAAGTGAAGCCGGCTTCCTAGCACATCATGACCAATCAAGAAGCGGGGAGGCAGGTTATTATGTGCCACCCGACTTTCTGATTGGCTAGGAAGCCAGGCTGCTTAGCAGCACACAAAGCTGGCTTCTTAGCCAATCAGAAAGCCGGGAGGCGGGTCATAACCCTCAAACCGTCTTCCTGATTGGAAAGCAAGCTGGCTCCATGCTCCCTCGGTACTGCCCAGTACTCAAATACTCGGTATCGGCACCGATTTTAGTATCAGTATCGGTGCATCCCTAGTATGTATACATGTGTATATGTGTGCAGTGTCAGTATATGTGTTTTTTTCCTAGTTTTTAATTGTAAGCATAGAATAACCAACAGACTCACACATTTACTCACACACAGAAATACGCACACAGAGAAACACACATACACACACACACACAGGAGTACACACACATGCAAATACGCACACACACCCCCAACCATAAGTACACACAATACGCACACATGCAGAAATACGCCCCCCAACCAGAAATGCATACACTATTACACACACAATAAAGCCCCATTCACATCTGTAAGTTAAGGTGCAGTTAGGAATTCCTGTGTGTTTTCTTGCAGCAGAATTCCCAGATCTGGCGTTTACAGGTGGTAGCTGTCAGTTAATGATTTGATGACAGCCGCTGCATGTAAATGCAAGCACACCGCATGTAATCATATGTGATATGCTTACATGAGGTTATGAATCAATCAATCAATGATGTATCCAGGGATAGTGATTGTTTTCTGACTCCGAGTAATCATATCACATGCGCTGTGCAGGCTTTTACATGCAGCCGCTGTCAGCTGATCATTAAATTGAACAGATGACAGCTACTACTTGTAAACGCCAGATTTAGGATTCCTGCTGCAAGAAAACACACATTCCTGATGCAGGAATCCCAAAACGCACCTAAAATTAAAGATGTTAATATTCCACCACACACCCAGCAAAATACAGCAATGACACAGTGGGACAAAAATGCAATGTCAGCCTAAATTAAGATTATATGAGTACTTTACAATTCTTATCTTAATAGGTATTTGGTGGTGACAGGAATCTTTACCATAAAATAACGTATTTGAGCACTTATGAAAAAACTCATAAGCACAGAATACCAGAGTCTGGTACCTGCCATGATCCGCTAATCATTGAATATATTCTGTTCTATGATAGCACGCAAACTGCTGGTTCGCTACGTGATAACCATAAACATGGCGGCGGCCTTGGCGGAGACACATTTTGGCGCTACACGTACAGTGCCCTGACGTAGAAATGGGAAGGACGCAGGGCTGCGTTACGTCAGTAATGCAATAGATGGACCTTTAAGTGCTGGCAAAAGTTTGTTGACTTCCGCGATGCCAAGCATCGCCACTTCTGATTGGCCGACACTCATCAGTTTGTCAGCTCGACCAATGGCGGTATTGGTTCTTGCACGGCCAAACATGGCGGCTTCCAGACACAGAGGCTAGGTGGTTTTAGGGGAAGAATTGAGCAGCCGGGTGTGATCCATCTATTTCTACCGGGAGATCGGTGATGTGGAGAGGAAATGGCGAGCGACACGGGGAGAAAGCAGTTCTGGAAAAGAAACGTCAATAAAGTACCGGGGAGGTGCGTAATACAGTATCAAGTGTCTGGTTACAGGGCAGCAGCAGTACTGATCTACTGACATTTCTGTCACTATGACTTCACTGTCACCATCCCTACAGAAGACACTTCATGTGCAGTCTCTGGATGTCCCAGGGTTCTTCTAGAGGTGACCACAGTCTAGGTGTCACTGCTGATGGGCTTGGGTGGCATTCTATTTCATGTGACAGGTCACTGCTTGTGTTTGGTCCTAGTGCATGTATGATTCTGCTCTTGTGTTTGCCATGTCTGTGTACCTGACAGCAATCCCACAGCCATCCTAAAGAGTATGAATAAGAATATTGGGAAGTAGATGGGAGACCTAATTGAATGGACTTCAGTTTGATGCTGTGCATGTTGTGTCATAAACAGTTGCTTTGCTTTTTAAATGACTTGTTTTCACTTTTATTTTTTTTAAATCTTGCATCTCGGTTCTTCTGGTCTCTTGCATTTTCTTTACAGCCATTTCCTATCTACATGCATGCACTCTGGTTATGGTTGCCTGGCATTTCACAGGGCTGGTTCCCTGATGTCTACATCAGTGGGCCAAACCTGTGTAATGTATGCTGAAAACACTCCTGGTAGTCTTCATGCAAAGCTTGTGTGGTGGGTGACAATGTAGGAGCACAACTGGGAGATGGGGACACCCTATAACAGGAAGTGCCTGAACAAGAACCTTCATGGCCGGCTCATGGGGAATTGTTTTAATATAAGCTGAAGATGTAAAAATATTATAAATTACTTTTGAAATTATATTAATATCTTAAAGATTCTATATATTTTATGCCCCATGGGGCCAATCGCATGAGTCTCACAAATTCCTCAGTGAGACTCATGCAGCATGCTGTGGGTGGGAGGCGCTGTACAATGCAATGACAGCTGCCACTGCCCACGGACTGTTTGCATCCATGTCCGATCATCTGCATATAAATGCAGCCTGTGCAGTTATGTACAAATAGGCTGTGAGGACCACTGATGTCACCGGGGGACCCCCAAAGAGGCTGATGAAGTAGAGATCTGCTTCTCCCAGGCTTCTGTAGCCAGAGAGTGACAGCTGAATGTGAAAGTGATGTAATATCCATCACTTCCACACTCACAACACCGGAGGGGCGATCAGAGGGAGATCGTGTACTGATCTCGCTCCGTGCTCCCTTCACAGAGCCACAGTGCCGGTCCCAGGCTCGCACAGGAAGCCCAGGATGGCTGGGGCGCACAAAGACACAACATACAAGCGATTGGATGGCTCTACAGCCACTGGACCGCTTGTATGTAAACAGCCATTGCTGGCTGTTTCAAAGTTTGACAGTTTCCCGCTTGTGCGTGCCAGGAGAATTTTTCCAAATCAGCTATTTGGGCCTAGGTTGTTCACTTCTCCTGCCTTCTCCAAACTCTGCACCCTTTTGTGAATAACTCTGTAAAAATCTTTAGTGCATGCAGATCACAAAACATCTTCAAGTCATTAGTGAAATCAGATTTAATTTGTGACTTTATTTAATCTAGCTTCCTGGTATTTTGAGTTACTGTTGACGTTCATGCAAACCTGCTCAAAACTCTAACTGCCAACCTCTCCTTCCGGTCCACATCACTTGCGGGGAGTCACATTCACCATCTCGCAGCTATATGTCCCAAAGGTACGGGGAGCGCTCCACCACAACTGCTGGCACTGATTGGATCAGGACAAGGGGATGGTGGCCGTAGTGGACTCAGCTTGGGCTGACTAGGTTCACACCAAACCCAGCCTCATCACTAGCCACCAGTGCCTTCCAGGGGGATCTCATCTGTAGACTGGGAGATTTTGCGAGATCTATGGGGAAAAGGTTTGTGTAAAGCACAGCTCTACGTGCAGGTCGGCAAAAATAATAATGAGGAATCTGGCTGCCAATCATGTTAAACAAAAAAAAAAAGTGGGGGTCAGTTTGCGATCCACTGGGGTGACAGAACAGCAAAACTGGGGAAAAAGCGAACAAAGAGGCAAGTAACTATAAATAAATGCTTTTATATTTTTTAATTTTTGTTCGTTAAGCGGTAGGGCCACTTTAAAGGAGAACTATTGGATCAGGGCTTTTTCCAAAAGTTCTAAGGGTAACGGGAGGACACAAACTAGCGTCCTCCCTTCACCCAAAGCTCAGTGCTTGCGGTCTACTGAGATGAGACGCCGCAGCCGGACGGATCCCGACATTACTTTCTGGATCCACCCAGCTTCGTGAGTGACAACTGGCTCTGCCTGCCTAGAGGCAGAGCCAGCTGTACCCGCCCCCTCCCTGTCCGTTCCACCAGTCAGCGCTGGAGGACCGGACAGGGGAAGGGGGGAATCCCTGCAGCTGTGAGTGACACTCGGGGCTCTCTGCAGGGACAGGATCAAGAAGTGAGCGAGCGACGGTATGTGTTCGCTTACTTCCCGATCTATTGAGCCGACGTGTGACATTTTCATTGTCACAGGTCGGCTAGAACTATGAGGCTGAGTGATTTTCACTCGCCTTATAGTTCTCCTTTAATTGTTTTTCATCTCTGACATAGTCTTTAAAATGTTGCATGTGCAAAAAAACCAACCAACCTACCTCTCACACCTTGATTACAGAGTCTTCAGTGCCTGGGAACAGTGGTCTGGCTCATAGCTAAAACACAAGGAATTGCCACAAAGGTCACACAAAACATAGCGTAGCTCCAGAGAAATGTGAACTCTGGCTGCAAGAAAATGTAAGATATATAGTTGCTGGAAGCATCATTGTGAAATTGGGGCTACCATTGCTAGGAACGTAAGATGTTGTCCTGCTTGGGGGGGTTAGGGGGGGGAGAGGAGCCTCCACTGCTATAGCACAAATTGGCCAGCAACAGCACGAACATCCCCCTGACCCAAATAAAGGAGGTACAGAGTGGGCCATTTACACCTTTTTTTTAGTAAGCATATGCAGGCACTTAAGATGCTTCTAAACCTAAAGGCGGAATTGATCAAAACTGGAGCAGACAAAATCTGGAGCAGCTGTGCACAGCAACCAATCAGCTTCTCTCTTTGATTTTCAAATCTTAACTGAACAAACCGAAGAGAGTAGCTGATTTGTTGCCCTAAGCAACTGCTCCAGATTCTGTTTACTCCAGTTTTGATAAATTCCCCCCAGAGAGTTTCCTTCCAATATTAGTGCCTTCCATCCCAGGGAAGGCTGAACCTGGGTGGGCTTAGCATATCAGAGCAAGAATAGAAACTAGCAACCTAAGGGCATCTGGAGTGGGGGCAAAAGAAAAACGCAGATGGGGATCTACCTTCTTATTTTTTTTTTTTAGTTAGGTGTGGGTGGGTCTGTGGGAGTTGGCGGAAGTACTGGCCCATGGTATGCTGACATGGACTTGCTAGGAAAAATCCTTTAAGTGTAGTTCCACTTTTACAGCCAAATTGATGTGATACCTTTTTATGTTTGTTCTACTGTATGTTCTTATTCACATAGCATAATAAAAAAAACCAATGCTGCTTAAGCTTTAGGCCTCATTCACAATGATAAGAGCCGTCCTGTACAGGTCCGTGCGGCGTGCGCGGCCGTATCGGGCCGCTCCCGGGAAGGACAGGCGCTTTGTTCGATTGCACGCAGCAGCCTGTTCTTCTCTACGGGAGTACTCGGCCGCTCGCAGCCGTATGCTCACCTGAACTGCACGTCTGTGCATGTGTCCATGCTCGGACGCAGACAGGATGGAGGTGACCTCCTGGTATAAGAACAGCCACTGTGTGGCATCCCCACAGCCACTGCATTACATGATCCCCATGACTCAGCCACGGATCATTTTTATATACCTACATTGCTGAACCAAAATAAGTGTGTGCGTATGCATGTGTGTTATATCTATCTATCTCTACCTATTGATATATCTACCTATCGATATATCTATAGATAGAGAGATAGATATCTATCTATCTATCTATCTATCTATCTATCTATCTATCTATCTATCTATCTATCTATCTATCTCAAATCTGAAGTTCAGCTTTAAAAGTACACTTTTTCCTTTTGCAATGTTTCAATGTATATATCAGAGGTTGGTTGATCTCTAAATATTTATAGCTTTAAATAAGGAAAATGTACAAAAGAGCTTTGTTTTCCATGGCATTGCAGATCACGTTTTCCCAATCATATGGCTCCTTCAGAAAAGCAAACGGTAGGTTTACCCTTAAAGCAAATCTGTACAGCGGAAGTATAAATCATCTCTGACCTGCTTTTACGAGTTCCCTGCTTGTAATTTTGATGGTTAGGTGGCAGCTTCTATCTTTCTTTACTAGGAAACCTGACATTTGAGAATACATAGGCTGCCATGGCTGGTCCTCCTTTGAAAATGCTATTTATTTTGAGGCATGGACCAGGAACAAGCATGCAGTTTAGGAGTTCTAACTGCACTTGTTGTATACTTATTTGCAGTCAGTGATTCAGAAAGTACTAAAAGCCAAAGGGTCAGCTTGATCTTTAGATGACCATAATGTGAAAACAATGGCAGTTGATGCATATCTCATGAGACTGTATTATAGAGTTTCATGTGCACAAGAGCTTGCTGGAATGACACTGAACTTGCAATGTGTAGGGAATTTAGTTTTGCAGAACTAGAATCAAATGAATTACATAAATTCTTTAGAAGAAGGGGCAAATATCTGTAAGCTAATAATGCCAAGCGTAGGCTAAAAGAGGAAGAGGAGATTCCCGTAAAAATGAAGAGGAACAATACACAGTCATAATCTCATGCTGAAGAAAAGGCGTAATGTAATTGCTAAAACAAACCTCAGCAGATATGAATGTATATGATTTATAGGCTCATTTACATAGTACAGTATTTATTGCTTTTATCTAGCTTTAGGTATTGCACTGCTTGAATGTAAAAATCTGTTGGTGCCATTTCTGTTATTTGCATTAGTGCCCATAGTACATAGTACAGAGCTGCAATATTGTTCTTGCTGCATTATTTTTAAAGTGTATCTAAAGCCAAACTTTGTCGGGTAGATCCTCAAATCATCTCTGAATTGGTGCTGACACTGTCCTTCCTTCTGGAGGGTGGCTACTTTTATTCCCCCATGGTCCCTGTGTGTGTTGTAAAGTAGCCACTGCTCCAAGCTCACTCCTGTGGTAGACTATATTTTCAATACAAATTAGTAAACTAAACGTTTTTTTGTTTTTTTTAAAGCCTCAATTTCATTTTAACTTTGCAGTGCTTTATACCAAAATCAGAATAGTAGTGTCATTTAATGCTGCATTCACATGTTGCGTTTGCGATTCCTGCACGGTTTTCCGCGTGGAAGACCGTGCTGGAAAAAAATGCTAATATTTTAAAATCCACACGGTTTGTGGCTATCAAATAGCCGCGAACGTGCGGAACCTGGCGGATTATGGCACTTATCACGTGGCCCCTGCAATGGTCTGAACGATGCACATTGAAGTGCATTGAATTACCTGTTTAGAGCGGCTCTGCGCGTATCCGTACAGCAGAATACGTGTGGACAGCCGCTCAGGTGTCAATGGAGCCTTAAGCAGGAAAGTTTAGAATAAAATATATACTTAATTTTTTTCACATTCGCACTAATGTTTTTTTTTAAACTGACACTGTTCAAAGAAGAAACCCCTTTTTCTTTTCTTTAGTTTTTTCTTTAGTTGTTTATGGGTTTCTTAAAAAATAAAATGTATTTTTGCTAGACAATATCACTAACAGAAAGATTTGTTTGTCCTAAAGAATGTTGCATGCTCTACTGTTTGTTAAGAACACCTCAACCTAACCATTGAACCATCACATTCTCAAATAATGAATCCCCTCACAGCTACCTCCTCATGTATCACTGACCCCTCCTCTTTTCGATTGTAAGCCCTCAGGGGCAGAGCCCTCCTTACCATCTTGTCTTGAATTGTATTGCAATTGTAATATCTTCCTTACATTGTAAAGCGCTGTGCAAACTGTTGGCGCTATATAAATACTATGTAATAATAATAATAATATTAATAAAATGGTTGCCGAATAAACAGTCCCGTAGAAGAAATATAACAATTACCGTAAGTGATTTGGGAAATTATCTAGAACTGATAGAAAAGTGATTTCCTCAGATATGTGTCACATCCTCTCGTTTCAGTTCCCATTCATCTTCACATTGAGATGATTTGCTTTCTCAGTTGAAGTACTGTATATTAAAACAAAACTTTTATTTTTGATAGTGGAGGAAGTGTTAAAACGCCTGTTTTTAATTTCTGTCTGTGACCAAGCTGAGCAGAATCATTATGTCTGTTTGTTGTGGAAATCCAAAATTTTATAGCTATTACCAGAACAAGAATAGGGGATTTGCTCTCACTACTGTTGTGTTTCTGCATGAGGAACTAAAGGGAAAACTCCCTAATCATCAGAAAACAAAAACTTAAAAAAAGTTTTGGCTTTAAATATGTTTAAATAATAATAATAAAAAAAAAAACTTGCCTTATTTTTTTATTTTATTGAAAGTTAGGCCATGCGGGTATAACTTTGAAAGTGGTATTTAAGGCAGAACAGACTCCCTTTTAAAAAAAAAAAATAATTTTGCATAATGTGCAAGAGTAAAAAGATAACTGCTTTTTGCCTATGAATTCCTCTAACACACTCCACCCCAGCTTTTTACTTGCTGTTGTAGCAGAGCAGTGCCCTATGTAATATGTTTACTCCACCTCCGGCAAAAATCTTTTGGCTTTGACTCCACGCTACCAAATAA